GCGACCGGAGACCCCTCTCCCTGGGCCTGGCCGGGGGTACCGTACGGAAGGCTCCGCAAAGCGAACAATTGTTTCCAAGCTGTGTGTGCGGGGCTATTCTTTTTCCTTTCCAGGTTGCTCTGTTCTTTTTATTTCCTTAACACACGAGACTCCGAAGACCTTTCAGTGAGTAAATCGAGCTCTTGGCAGATGTAATTCTTAAAACTTGATTCCTTTTTTTTTTTTAAATTATTGTTAAGCAGCAGTTACGCAGTTGTTAGAACAAAGCTTCCAGACTTTCCCTTAGCCCTTAAACAAATTGCTCTCTGTCACATTCCAGCTAATAATTGCTCGTGGATCTCAGACCCAGAACTATAAGGAAGATGAACAATTTGCAATTGGACAAGTTCATCATTTAGGGGGAAAATTTTACTCCGGAAAGTCTTTCTTCTATAATGACCGAGTCCGATTCTGTTTTGTTAGCAAACACATGCTGCATCCACATTTGGAGATAAAATTAGCTTTTTATCTAAAGCATGCTAAGTTATCTTTGGAACACAACGTATCAGTTTTTTAATATGCAGTGTTTTAATTTTGGAATCATGAACACTACAAAAGTGTCAAGTCTTTAAAGTTACTACCTCCTGCAGGTGCTTAGTGTATATGCTAAAAAGAGGGATGGGCCTCTGTTCAATAAACCGCCGGTGTGCAACCCCATTTTTTATTTCCTCTACACATCTTTCACTTAGATTTAAAATTTCTTTTTTGTTTTCTAATTTCCACTGTTTCACTAGAGTTTTTCATGAATATTCTGTATAAGTCAGTTCCTGGCTGGAGAAGACAAATATGTAAATAATCTCTATATCTTTATATGTGATGACAGTTTCTAAAACGTTTTTGAGTGGCATTAATTTGATCAAGTGTTTGATTAATTATGGCTCCAAATTCTGGGAAAATGTAAACTTAAAGTAATTTGATATTCTAAGCCCAGGTTTTTAATTTATTGTTTTTTTGGTGTGTTTTGTTGTTTGTTTTTTTACTTTTTTGGGTGGGGAGGACCTCGGGTGCAGAGAGTTGAGTGGATCGTTCACCTTAGTTAATAGTATTTTAACATCACTCGTCCGTGAACACAGATTTTAAAAAATAAGTATGGCCTGAATTGTGATAGAAATTTGGTTGTAGTAACATCTGCATTTTAAAACTCTAGAGGATATGTAGGAAAGTGATTAAAATTCTCCTTACCTTGAATAATGTATGGAAAATGTTACATATATTGGAAACTTTCTGAGAAGCTGTATGCTCAATGAAGAAACAACACTATGGTTTTTAGAGATTAGTGGGGAGGGTTGAGCTCATTTTGTGAGGAAGCTAACATTATGGTAGCCTAAATATATTTTAGGGAAAAATAATTTTAATAAAGAAAATTCATGAACTATAATTTATAGTATTTCTTAGATACTTGTCCCGGTTCTAAGAAACTAAGCAAAAAGCAATGGCATTTTCCAACTTCATTAATATTAACCTACTTTTTGTTGATATCCTGAATGGTCTACTTTAGAATAAATGGTAGATTTGTATAAAGGGCAAAATTTACCCAAGAGATGAGAAGTATAAATTTTTTTAAAGTCAAATGCTGCATAAAAAGAGTTGAAAGATCTTGAATAGGAAACATATGTAATACCTTAATGAATAAAGAAATTTAAAAAAAAAGATGTTGAATAGTCTGTATCCTTCTAGGATATCATTTGTAACTGTCAGTTTCCCGCCTGCTCTATACCTTTAAAGGCTTCCTCATCTTTTCATCGTCCACTGTTGCTAGCACATTCTAGCACATAGAAAAACATTCTGTAAATATTTGCAGTTTCAAGCTGCATTGAAGGCAAAGAAGAGGCAGGTTTCACCTGGGCCTCATTTGGAGGAAGAGGTCAAGAGATTGTCATAAAGGTGGGGATGCCTAGTGAACACTAGGGAACAGTAGGTAGGCCAGATGTGGCACTGAGTGGGGAAGATAAAGCTGCAAAAAAAAAAAAAATTGTGCTAAACTTGGAGCAGTCAAAGGAAATTCAATTTAAGGGGGAATCATTGCATAGCTTTAACCTTAGGAATGGTTCTTAAATGGTCCTTTAGGAAGATGCACCTCAGCTGGGCTTTATGAGCTACTGGAGATGGGGAGAGACATTAAGAGTCCAGGCCTGAGAAGTGAAGGCTGATTTAGATTAGTAGCAAAGATAACTAAAAACAGGGGTCCTCAAACTTTTTAAACAGGGGGCCAGTTCACTGTCCCTCAGACCGTTGGTGGGCCTATAGTTTAAAAAAAAACTATGAACAAATTCCTATGCACACTGCACGTATCTTATTTTGAAGTAAAAAAACAAAACGGGAACAAATACAATATTTGTATTTGCATGTGGCCCGCGGGCCGTAGTTTGAGGACCCCTGACTAAAAAGGAAGAATGAATGAAGTAGGCAAGGAGAATGAATGTGACAAGTAGAGTTCACAGTTCTGCTTTCACACTAGCACATCAGTAATAAATAGTGATTTTACCTTTGAAATAAAGTTGTTGATCATCTTGATGCCCAGTGTTTGCCAAACTTTTCTGTCTGTTCAATGTCTTACCTGCTTGTCTAACCAGTCTTGAAGTATGCTGATGTTAGTAGTCTAAACATTTCAGAGTCATACAAATGATACATAGCAACATGGAGTTGCTAAATAATTACTGAAGTAAGTCATGTTCATCAGTAATGTTTTTAATTTAGTTTTTTTATGTTTTTGAAGGAATCTTTATACATCTGTACATCTATTCTTGTCTAAGTTGGGACCTTGGGAACCTTGCAGTCCTCTGTCCTCATTTGACAGAGGAAACAGGACAGGGTGGTGAAGTGGGAGTGGGGGAATTGCATACAACTTCACAGTCACTTTATGGTAGAGCCGGGGGACCACTAAACCATATTGGTAATTGTAATCTTTAAGACTGATTTTGAAAAGTCTCAAAAGGTTGATTACTTAAATATATTGTTCCTACATTTATAAAACTTAGTCTATAAGTAACTTTTTTTAAAATTGAGTACTACCAAATTTCAGCTTGCAGTTTAAACATTGTATCCAGTTAACACATTACTTAGCTAATATATCTTGTGTGCAGTTCAGAAAAGTTGTTCACTCCTTGGGTGCAGGCCTGCTTGTCAGCTGTAGAAATTGCTAGTGGTTCAGATCCTTTACCAGATAGATGTTCAACTAGAACTTTGTAAACCATCTTAGAACTAAATTTTAAAAAATGTATTTTTTTTGAGCTAAAAAACTCCAAAATTTGGTTTTTAGCCTTTTCCCCGGGGCGGGGTTGGGGGTGGGGTGTTGTGCAGTAGAAAAATGCAAGGACTCATAAATTTGTCATACAATTCCTGGATTTCACTAGACTCTGTAAAGACGATCCTGAAATCTCCTTCAGATCCTTGACTCCCAAATTTAAAGCACTTCTCACTCAGTTTTTCTTCCTTAATTTGTCCCATTTTCTTTCCCTCCAGTCTGAGAAGTCCGTCCCTCTTCCGTTTCAAAGCAGATCCCTTTTGCTACCTCACTATGTGAATACCATTCCCTCTAAAACCTTGTTTTATAAGTTACTAAGTATATCTTTTGTACAGTATTTGAAACCTTTCTCCCTAGTTTCTTCCTTTTAAAACTGTCCACTCAAAGATCACTGTTTTCAAAAGCAGTGATCTTTATTAATCCTCATTCTGATAAGCTTTTCTTCCTTTTTTAAAAATATATTTTTATTGATTTTTACAGAGAGGAAGGGAGAGGGATAGAGAGTTAGAAACATCGATGAGAGAGAAACATCGATCAGCTGCCTCCTGCACACTCCCCACTGGGTATGTGCCCGCAACCAAGGTACATGCCCTTGACTGGAATCAAACCCGGGACCCTTGAGTCCGCAGACCGACGCTCTATCCAATGAGCCAAACCAGTTAGGGCACTGATAAGCTTTTCTATAGCATTAGACATTAGTAACTATTTCCTTCTTTCTAAAATGTGGTTGTTCTTCAGTTACAACTCTCAGTCATAACCAACTTCCTTAATTCTCAGTGACCATTCCCTACTCAATCGTCACTGTAAAAATTCTTCAGCATTGTCCTTTGTTGCCTTCTTACTATGTATGCACATTCCCTTAGCTATTTCATCCACAACTAGAGCTCAATTTTTTTAACCTTTATTTAAAAGAGCCTAGCTAGACCCTTCTCCTGAGTTTGAGCTACTTTTCTGATTGCCTGCTAGATTGCTCCTCATGGCCACACTCCTACCACCCTTCTCCCCAAACCTATTCAATTCGATTGCTGTTTTTAGTCAGCAGCATCAGCACCCTTGCAGTTGCTCAGGCTCAAATCTTAGCTTCATGTTCTGCTCTTTCTACATATAACGATCCCAATGTATTTTTGTTCTGTTTTCAGCTTCATGTTTCCTGTAGCAGGTGGAATGAGACCCCCTCAAGGTAAGTGAAAGTTACGTTTAGAACTTTCATTTTTCACTATTATGTTTCTCAACTTGGGACTTAAGTGGGTAAAGAAGATTTGTTTAAACCTATAGCTTAAGCTACTCTTAAAATTTCTCAAAGATTATGTAATTTGGGGAATACTAAGAATCATTCCTCATTTCTCCCAAACTTATTTAAACATTATATTAACATATTATTATTTAACCTCAGAGATGGAGACTTTCAGAACAAGAGTATCAAAGAATTCTCTAAATGACATATTTTTCCTTCTATCTAGTTTTCTGCTAGATGGTTTTAGCTGCATAGGGCAGGGTCTGTGTCTGCTTTGTCTCATTAGCATATCCAACACCCAGCACCCGCATGCTGATAGAAATAATAGGGTCTCTATAGATGTTTGTTGAATGAATAAGTGAACCTCTTCAGTAATTTTATACTACCATGTTTTCTCTATATTAATTTAGTCTTATTATAATCATGTACATAAGAGATCACATATTCTGATTCAGTTTTAACTATTTGTAGTCTCAGTTTTATTCCTAGCAGTTTCTTTATTTTTCCTCCTAGTTTCAGACAAGGGGCTACCAATATTAATTCTAAGCTTTTACTTCAAGGAAACAATAGTGAAGGGATATAATCTTGACTCATGCTACTTTGCCACTAGGACACAACATTGAAAGAAGAATAAGTCTGCCCTTCTCTTTCTGCTCATTTTTCCCATTCCACTGTGCCCTCCTTCTCGCCATACACCAAGCTGCTTCTGAAAACTGGCCCTTCTCACATGCCAGTGTTGATTGGTGATGGTAGTCTTGCTAGAGAAACAGACTCCTAGGTCATTGTTAGAGATGAATGATAAAGAGGTAGTCAGTGGCTCATACTGACTTTGTCTCCATTTGTAATCAGTGATGGAGGTTGAGTTTCAGGTAAAATTTTCCAAGGGTCATTTGTATTCTGTTCATTGTGCTCACACCTATGCATTATTCAAGCTATCTGTGCTTAGATATGCACCAGATTCACATCAAATGGTTTGAGATATTTTGTTCTTTAAGAAGGCATTACAAATATGTGTTCATTATCATAGCTCATTTTTCATTTTTATAAACTTCCAAGTAAAAACCTATATATGGAGCAAAGGAACAGGACAAGAAGAGATTCCAAAAGGTTGCCTGATATTTTTTTCTTCTGAAATTTAGAACTGTTTTAGAGATTTTTTTCTTTTTACAGAATATGTTAGAGAGGACTTCTTGATCATTTGAAGGCTTTAAATTATGCCTGGACAATTTATGAAAGGATATACAAGAAACTGACAACAGAGTAACCATAAGATCATGAATAGGTGAATAGGAGAGAAATGAGTCTTATTTTTCATTGTGTATTCCTGTATACCTTTAAATGTTGTACCAAATACCTGAGTTACCCATTCAATAATTAAATAAAATTAATTAAATAAAACTTTAGGTCTAAAGGGATAAGAGGAAAAATATCTTACTATGGTTTTATTCAGTCTGTGCATTCTAATTCTCCAAGGCACTTTAGGACCTTTGCATTTGGCATTCCTTTGTCTGGAATACTCTTCCCAAATATCCACATAACTTGCTCCCTTATTTTTTTTTCAAGTCCTTGCTTATATGCCACCCTTTTAGTGAAACCTATTCTGGCTATGAAACAACAACCATTCCTTTCCCTAACTCTCCCTTTCCCTCTTACCCTGCTTCATTTGTTGCCCTATCTCTTAACACTACTTTACATGTACTTATATTTTATTATCTATCCCCCCAATTACAGTGTCCATTCCATGAGGGCAAAGACCTGGTTTTGTTCATTGCTGTGTGCTTAGAATGGTGCCTGACATGGAGTAGGCCCTCAAATACTTGAGTAAATAATTGAATGAATAAATGAATAGCTTGCCACTAATAAATGTTATCTGCAAATATGGATGTTCATGCTCCTGAAATTAAACTATGTATAAATAACCTTGAAGGTTCACAGAACACACAAGATAAGCATGGTATGCTTTACTAGACCTTTAGTATTTTTAAATCAAAATTTGATTAAAAGCTCTTTACAGTAGAACCAACATGGATGTAATATGTGATAAAATGCAAAATTAGCCCTGGCTGGTTGCTCAGTGGTTAGACCATCAGCCTGTAGACCAAAGGGTCATGGTTTCAATTCCCAGTCAAGAGCACTTGGTTGCAGGTTCGATCCCCGGCCCCTGTATAGGTACATGAAAGAGGCAACCAATCGATGTGTCTTTCTCACTTCGATGTTTCCCTCTCTCTTCCCTCCCCCCTCCCTTTCACTCTCTCTCTCAAAAGATCAATGAAAAAAAGTATCCTTGAATGAGGATAAAATAAAATGCAAAATTAGATTGAAATTTGTGTTCAGGGTATGTAGGGATTTTGTTTTATTCACTGTTATATATCTAGAACTGTGTCTAAAATATGGTGGGCATTTAGTATTTATTAAATTCCCAATGGGAGGTATCTTCATTGGAAAAGTTTGGGAGATACTATACTCTAAGTCATACTTTCATGATAGTTTTACTGCCACTGCATTATTTACTTACATGCTGGTGGCTGTTTTGTGGTAAATGTTATATTAATTATTAATGTCAGGAAAGAGAAGAGGAATATAATTTTTTCACGCATATTAGATATTAAACAGTTGAGGCCTCACCCCATAACAAAGAAACAGAATTTCCGGAGGATGAGGCCCAGAAATCAGGATTTTAAAAAGAGTCCCAGGTGATTCTAATGTGCAGGCAAGGTTGAGAACCACTGCTCTAGAGCCTATACTTTTTCACTCACCGTGTCACCTCCCAAGTATCAAGCCCTGTAGGTACTTATGGTTTTAAGAAAATAAACTGTAGAACACATTGACTTTAATGATACCTTTATGGGTTTTTTTTCAGCAGGTCTGATGCCAATGCAGCAACAAGGATTTCCTATGGTCTCTGTCATGCAGCCTAATATGCAAGGCATGATAGGAATGAACTACAACTCTCAAATATCCCAGGGACCTATTACTATGCAGGTATTTGCCTCTTTAGCTGATTGTTTACAAAATTATTGTTATGTGTCTACATGCTAAAAGCTGCATACTAGGACTTTAATGTTATATTTAGCAATAAGTGTAGTCTACATGTTAGGTGGCTTCCTTCAAAATAAAACAAAGATAGGTTCATAAGAGAGAGAGAAAAAAATAAAAGATAAATCACTTAAGGAAAATCTGCTGACTTCTCTATGATTACTAGCTTAGAAGAAATTTAGAATGATACCTTGAAAAACTCAGGGGCCTGATGCCATGAAGTAGCATTGTTAGTAGTAGTAGCACTGTTTTCGTGGAAGAAACTGTGTCATTGTTTGGAAGACTCAGAGCCTTCTTTATATTAAATTTTCTCATCTAAACCCCATAACTTTTTAAAGAAGTGGTATCTTCATTTTTCTGATGAAACCAACACCTTTGGAGGATGCTCACAGAGGATAGTCAGCCAGAATTTGAACGTAAGTCCTCAATAAGCTTGTACTTAGCCATATTGTACATCAAATTCTCTCTTAAGATCATTAAGGAGCCAATAGGTTAAAGCAGTGGAATGACACAATCAGGTTTGTATTTCAAAAAGATCATTCTGACTGCCGATTGGAGAATGACTGGGGGCAGAAGAGCAAAAGAGGATATAAAGAGAAACCCTAGAAGAGTGATTGATGTACTGAGAGTAGGTGAGATGTTGGCTTTAATTAGGGTGGTAGCAGAGAGATGGAGACATGGATGTTTTTGAACACAATTTAGGAAATAAAATTAATAAGACTTGCTGAGTGTTTGGATGTTGAGAATAAAGGAGAAGATGGTATCAAATTGATTTATCATTTTCTACATGATGGTGGTGTCATCTTCTATATATATATCTATATATATAAAAGTCTAAGCCACTAGCCAACCGGCCGGTAGCTATGATACACACTGACCACCAGGGGGCAGATGCTCAACACAGGCATGGAAACATAGAACAGACTGATGAATCTCCGAGGGGCGTGGGGAGGGCAGGAAGAGATTAACCAAAAATCTTATATGCATACTAGAGCCCTGGTGCACGGATTCATGCACCGGTGGGGGTCCCTCCGCCTGGCCTGCGGGGATTGGGCCAAAACCGGCCCAGTGCACGGATTTGTGCACCAGTGGGGTCCCTTGACCTGGCCTGTGGGGATCCGAAACCAGCTCTCCAACATCCCCCAAGGGGTCCTAGATTGCAAGAGGGCGCAGGGCCTCTAGTTTCTTTATAAAAGAAACACTGGAGGAGATGATTTGTTGGTACATATTATTGACTTTGGAGAACCCATGCAACTTCAAGTGGGGCTGTCCAGAGACAATTTAATAACCTGAACTCTGGTCATTTTTCACTCTGAAAATTATTTGAGAGTTATCTATCCATAGAAGGTAATTGATGATATAGGGGTGAATTGGAACATCCAAGAACACTATAGATGGAAAACGTAATCCAGGATAGAGCCTTCAGGATTTCAACATTTAAATACAAGAGAGTGAGACAGATGCCACATATTTCACTTAAATGTGGAATCTAAAGAACAAAATAAATGAGCAAAATTGAAACAGATTTATAGATATAGTGATGGTTGCCAGAAGAGTAGGAATTGGGGGGTTGGGTGGAAAAGGTTAAGGGATTGAGAAATACAAATTGGTAGTTACAAAATACTTACTAGGATGTAAAGTACAGCATAGGGAATATAGTAATTATTGTAATAACTGTGTATGGTGTCAGGTGGGTATTGGAAATACTGGGGGGAACGCTTTGTAAAGTGTATGATTGTCTAACCAATATGCTATACACCTGAAACTAATATAAAATAATATTGAATGTAAACTGTAATTGAAAAGTAAAATTTAAAAAACATTAAAATCAGTTGATCAGTCCATCAATTTAAGGGAGTGAGTTGCCTTCACAGGAGATTAAAGAGGAGCAGCCACAGAAGTGGGCCAGGTGGATTAAAAAAACAACAGCATGGCCCTGGCTGGTTTGGCTCAGTGGATAGAGCGTTGGCCTGTGGACTGAAGGATCCCAGGTTCGATTCTAGTCAAGGGCACATGCCCGGGGTTGCTGGCTCGGTCCCCAGTTGGGGGTGTGCGGGGGCCAGCTGGTCATGGTTCTCTCTCATCATTGATGTTTCTATCTCTCCCCTCTCCCTTCCTCTCTGAAATCAATAAAAATATATATTTAAAAAACAAAACAAAAAAAAACATGGGCCCAGCTGGTGTGGCTCATTGGTTGAGTGTCGACCTATGAACCAGAAGGTCACGGTTCGATTCCTGGTCAGGGTTAAGCCTGGGTTGTGGGTTCGATGCCCAGTAGGGGGCATTCAGGAAGCAACAGACCAATGATTCTCTCTTATCATTGATGTTTCTATCTCTCTCCCTCTCCCTTTCTCTCTGAAATCAATAAAAATATATTAAAACAACAACATGGGTTTTGATGTCAGACCCAAGTTCAAATCCAGGCTTTGCCTTTAACCTGTTAAACAGGATGTAATAATACCTTGTCAGTATCATTATAGAAAGGATTGAAGGAAATATATAAAGCATTTATTAGCATGTGCCCTGACCAGGAATCCAACTGTGACCTCCTGGTTCTTGAGTCCACACTCAACCGCTGACCCACACCAGCCAGGCTTACAATTAGAATTTAAGTTGCAATTATTGTCATCTTGCAGTCATTTAAGCAAATAAAACTTCTCTGTTGTATGTAAAGATTTAGGAAAATTTCCAGAATCATTCTTTATTCATCTCCAGTAGGAAGAAAATAAAAACAAATTGAGCTTTTGTAGGTCTTAAATTCATGTTACTCAGCTTTCACTAGGTTATATTGTAGAAACAACAATCCCAAGATCTCAGTGACTTACAAAAACAGGTTTACTTCACATTTGTGATACATATCCTTTATAGGTTGACTCAGATCCATGGTATCTCTTCATCCTGGGACCCTTACCTAGGACATTCCAGACTCCTGGCATAGGGAAAAGAGAGCTGAACCCTGTAATGTCTTTTAAAGCTTTCTCTCAGAGATAGCACTTCCAGTCACTTCTGCTCACCAAGGTAATGTGGTCAGAAGGAGTACATACCCACACAGTGATGTGTAATCCTTAGAGTAATAGCAGCAAATGACTAGACACAATCTACAATAGATACAGTGTGTTTTAATTAAGATTTAGTAAGCTTACTGCTAAATCTTAGTAACAGCTGATACAATTTTTAAGTTATTGATTTTAACCCTAAACATTGTTTTATGACTTACATAATTATATGAAAAAGTTTTTAAAGAGTTTGAAACAACCAAAAGAAATAAGTATCTTGCCGACACCGGTTTGGCTCAGTGGATAGAGCGTCAGCCCGTGGACTGAAAGGTCCCAGGTTCGATCCGGTCAAGGGCATGTACCTGGGTTGCGGGCACATCCCCAGTGGGAGATGTGCAGGAGGCGGCTGATCGATGTTTCTCTCTCATCGATGTTTCTAACTCTCTATCTCTCTCCCTTCCTCTCTGTAAAAAATCAATAAAATATATTTAAAAAAAAAAAAAAGAAATAAGTATCTCTAACATGTAGAACACAATATAAGAAAGTAAATTATATTTTATATTCTCCAAATAATTTCCCTGGGTATCAGGAGCTTAGGATTAATAACTCCAAAATAAAGAAGCCACAGTCTTTTTCTTTAATTTTTAATGTTGTTGGAGGTATTATACTGCTTGGAAGCTGCTTAAAGGAGAAATTTATTCAAATCTTATATTTTCTTCTGAGAAGTACAATAGCTCCAATCAACCATAGACATATATAAGGAAAACACCCACTAGGAGGTGTGCAGGAGACAGCTGATCAATGTTTTGTTCTCACATCAATATTTTTCTTTCTCCCTCTCCCTTCCTGTCTCTCTACAAATCAATAAAAATATTTTTTAAAAATTTATTCAAACATATTGGAAAAACATGTTTAATCTCATTTGTGGAGTAACTACTATGTAACAAGCTCTTATCTGTTGATGGAAATAAAGACTTGTAAGATATGATACCTCATCTCAAAGAGTATAGATCAGTGAGCTTACCAGAATATACCTTGTGTGTGTGCCTGTATGTGCTTCCATACACACACAGCCTGAAAGGTTTTACATACACACACACACACCCCCTTTCACACCCTCAGACTATTAGCAGTGGTCACCTCTAGGGCAGTGAAGGAAATGAAGGGGGTGAAATATTAAAGGGAATTTAATATGTCATGAAAGAAATTATGGAAATTAAAGGCGAAATTGTTTTTTTTGAGCCTTTGTCCTTTTCTTCTAGGCAGGGATACCAATGGGACCAATGCCAGCAGCAGGAATGCCTTACCTGGGACAAGCGCCATTCCTGGGAATGCGTCCTCCAGGCCCACAATACACTCCAGACATGCAGAAGCAGTTTGCCGAAGAGCAACAGTAAGGGACCTCAGGATTCAAGGATAAAAAATACATGATAGCAGTTACTCTAAGCTTTTCAAATGTTCTCTAATGCAGATTTGAAACCAAAACAGTCACGTTGCCTTTAAAACTCTTTAAAATACTTCTATTTTAAGTTTAAAGCCAGAAGGACCTTAATGATTCTCTTTGTTATGGGGTGAGGCCACAACGTTAGTAACAAAGAAACAGAATTTCCGGAGGATGAGGCCCAGAAATAAGGATTTTACGAAGATTCCCAGGTGATTCTAATGTGCAGCCAAGGTTGAGAACCACTGCTCTAATTCAAGCCTCTTATTTTACAGCTAGGAAAAGTGAGGACCAGAGAAATGAAGCCACTTGTGAGTCAAGGCTACACAGTTACTAGCAGAACCTGGACCCAAATGTAGAACTGATTCCCAGACAATTGCTTTTTCTCCCATATGACATGCCTTCCCAAGTGGAAGTTTCTTCTTTATATGCCAAATGAAAACTGTTTTTATTTTGTCTATCTCCTTGTTTGTTTGTTTTTTAATTGCTTTTGAATGCAAAAGATTGTCCTCCTGCCCTAGCCAGTTTGGCTCCATGAATGAGCGTAGGCCTGTGGACCAAAGGGTCCCGGGTTCGATTCCGGTCAAGGGTACGTACCTTGGTTGCAGGCTTCTCCCCGGCCCTGGCCAGGGCTCCTGCAAGAGCCAATCAATCAATGTGTTTCTCTATGTCTTTCCCTCTCTCTCCCACTCTCCCTAAAAATCAATGGAAAAATATCCTTGGGTGAGGATTAACAAACACACACACACACACACACACACACACACACGAAAAGATTGTCCTCCCCTTGCAAATTAAAGAAGAAATAAATTCATATCTCAGTTTAGGTAAATCATTTTTTAAACTCATATTTTGAAATTAATATAGTGGGGAAATAGGATTGTCAAAAGAAAATGAGAACATTAGAGAAGTTTTTAGTTCTAGAAATGTAAGATGATATTAGTAGAAATATAAATATTAACACAGGTGATAATCCCTGAATGTTTTTCCTTCAGAAAACGATTTGAACAGCAGCAAAAGCTCTTAGAAGAAGAAAGAAAAAGGCGCCAGTTTGAAGAGCAGAAGCAAAAGCTCAGACTTCTGAGTAGCGTGAAACCTAAGGTAATATAGTCTGCCACCCCTCCACCACACATACACAGCCTGCATGTGCTGCCTCTACTCATTCAGTGAATTTTGCCATGTAGCAGCCCAACCTGAGGCTGTGGTTGATTCATTTTAGTTTCATTTAGTCCAAAAGTGAAGGATTTTTCTTCTGTAAAGACACTATATTGTTAAGGGAAATGAGATATCAGCCAGTTTTCTCAGTCTTCTTTACTACCACTATAATGTTTGTAGTCTTTTCTAGTGAAGCATTAATACAGAGTATTAATATATTAATATAACATAACAACTGAATCATAAGGTATTTATAAATAGGCCTTTTAATTTAGAGTATTGTTTTATGTCTTTGTTTTATACACTTATCAATCGTCTGACTTGGAGAATTCAGTATCAGAAGTATGTGATAATACTGGCAACAGACTAATATCTGTACTTCTTTTTAACTTTGGGAGTATTTAGGATGAAGTGAGAGATGAGCAAAGAAATATACATACATTTATTATCTCTTAGATAGGAGAGAAGAGTAGAGATGATGCTTTGGAAGCCATAAAAGGAAACTTAGATGGGTTTTCCAGAGATGCTAAGATGCACCCTACTCCAGCAACGCACCCTAAGAAACCAGGTATTTTAATTTAAAGTGTTCTTTTGTCGGAAGATGACTTATAGTCCATGTGTTTTATTGGCCATTACGTGTGTATGAAGAGCTAATGCTGAACTCTTCCTTCAAGCTAAGTACAGATTTGGATGTCTTAAAATTTACAATAGGTTAAGTGTTCTGATCTGCATAACAATCTTAGGAGGAAAACCCCCTCTCTTTCTAGTAAATGTCAGTATGACAACTTTACTTGTAAATCTTCTGTGTATATGAGTATGTTAACATTAGTAAAATGCATTCACTCAAAGCAAATGTAATAAAGTAGTTTATTGCTTTCTCATTATTTTAAAATAATTTTGCTTTTTATGAGCTAGTTTGGATTTTATTCAGTGTGATTAAACTTTGAAAATTGTACCTGCCCCCTTTTTAAAAAGTCACGGGTTTAATAATGCTCCTCATGGAATTTTAGTTTCTTTAATGTATTTCTTTGTTGTTTTTATTATCATTTATCATCAGATAAGCAAAACAGTGCCTATTTAGAACAGGATAAAGGGAAAGTTGTCCACCAGTACTGATCTGAGAACCCAAATTGAGATCTTAAATCCACATTGTCAGTAACCATTATTAAAAAAGACTGTCCTGACTTCAGTAAATGTGAAAGCAATTCAAAGTAGTTAAAAATATGGCAATAATAATATTGTTAATGAGCCTCATATTAAATATACGTAGTCCCTGTTAGAGAAGGTTTATTACAAGAGTGATTCTCACATTTAACAGTAAAAAGCCATAGTGATGTTAGTATTCTTTAGAGCTAAAGAAAATATAGTCCTCAATCAAGATTTCCTTTCTTAAATTGACTGTTGAGTTGTTTGACTCAGCACTTTATGGTGTCCCAATTTTGAGGCTTTTCACAAGAAAATATCACCTTGGCAATGTGTTTAATGTTCTTGTTGTCATAATTTTCACTAGAGGCCTGGTGCACGAAATTCATACACTTGGGGGAGGGTCCCTCAGCCCGGCCTGCACCCTCTTGCAGTCTGGGAGCCCTCGGGGGATGTCTGACTGTCAGCTTAGGTGGGCCTAAGCCGACATTCGGACATCCTTAGCTCTGCTGCGGAAGCCCAGCTTCTGGCTGAGCGATGCTCCTCTTGTGGGAGCGTACTGACCACCAGGGGGCAGCTCCTGCATTGAGTGTCTTCCCCCTGGTGGTCACTGCGCATCATAGTGACCAGTTGTTCCACCGTTTGGTCAATTTGCATATTAGCCTTTTATTATATAGGATCCTTCACATGGTTACTTTACTGAAAAGTGAACTATTCAAAATGTATGGGTTAGACCTGCTATTTCAAAAATTATAAGTATGTATCATACATTGTTTCTTACTGACATAATGAATTTTAATCAGAGTCTATGTCTGCCCAAAATGTGTTCAGCAGCATTTGGTGGGTTTTCATATTTCTGGTATATATTAGTTTGAAAGCATATTATCCAGATAAACAGATCACTTGAGTTTCAAAAGTAATCACCACTTTGATGTAAATTATTAGTGGTCACGGGGAAAAATTAGTACTAACTTAATAAAAGAAGAAAAGAAATTTTAACTTTTATATTTTTCTCTTTTTGAGTCAAATGTAAAATAGCTATAAATCTCTTTTTAAAAAAACAAAAAAATTGTGTAGTAATAGACATCAAAGTGTTTTGCATTCATTATAAAATTCCATTTGACTGTTAATTACATGTTATTTCTTGTTCATGTGTACTATTCATGTTTCAGTATATTCTTTTGGAATTGTACTACATCTTAATTTCTTTCTCCCTTTTGATTTTCATTTCTGTGTGTTTCGTTACCATTTTCCATTTTGCAGATTATCCCACATCATCTCATTCTAAAACTGTCTCCCCATCACCTGCCTTTCTTGATGAAGAAGAATTCAGTGACTTTATGCAGGGGCCTGTTGAACTTCCCACATGTGGGCCTTCTTCCACTTCCCAGCCTTTTCAGTCTTTCCATCCCACCACCCCACTTGGCCAGTTGCATACACAGAAGGCTGGAGCACAGCCTCTCCCTCCAGGTCAGATTCCAGTGTCTTTTGCCTTACATGGTGTCCCTGGACAAATTCCTTATTTCTCTACTGCTTCAGCCTCATACAATGTACAGAGAGCAGGTAACTCTTAGCATATTAATGAAAGTATTTTTAAGATAATCTAGGCTTATTTCTTTCTTTTATATAAGTTGAATAATACAGTGATGTTGGCAAAGAAACATGTACCTGAATATATGAGTACTATTGAAATCGTCAAAATAAGAATCTAGATTTTTTAATTCTGGGGGCCTCACTTTCCAGAAAAGTGATTTAAAACTTTTGCTCTTAAATTAGGCACTATTTAAACCACCTTAGAATTTTAAGAACAAACCGATTTCTTCATAAGATTACTCTTATTTGGGAAAATCACTAATATCATTTTCTTAAGAGTAATGAGCCAGGGAAAGCTGCTTTAGAAAGTGCTCTAATTCAGTTTCTTCATTTGCTGTCCTCGGGCAAATCTTTTAACACTTGTGAAATAATGGGGGTTGGGACAGTTATACACCATGGCGTGAGACATAGAGTAGTGCTGAGAGGGATCTTAGCTGAGATGTACTGAGTCCACACTTTGTCACTTAACAGAGGAGAAACAGACCCAGAGGTGATGTTACTGGCCAGGGGTCTCACCAGTGGTTAGTGGAAGTGTCCATATCGTGTGTAGGTCACCAGACTTCCAAGGTAGTACTACTCCTTCCACTATACCGTTCTATCTGCTGCCTCAGAGAATGCTTGAGAATCAAAGTAGATTTAAAATCTAAGTCTCTCAATTTCTATACAATTGTGTAGTGATCGAATTATTTAGAAATTTACATTGTATGTGGCAGGATCTTCCCTTAAGAATCTGGGGATGGAAATGAATGATTGAAAAAATTAGAAATTTGCAGTTATATACAAATAATCCTTCATGCTGTTTGTTTAGGCCCTTCTTTGGAGGAGAAGCTCCTAGTAGCTTGTGATATAAGTACATCTGAGCAGGAACAAATTAAATTAAATACTTCTGAGGTTGGGCACAGAGCCCAAGGCCCAGGTTCCAGTAAGAACCATCTTAGTTTAACGGCCAATATCAGGGGTGCTGTGGATGGACGTGTAAGTGGTACCACTACTGCAGAGGCAAAAAAGACTTCAGACCAAAACCTGCCCATTGAAGAGAGTGGTGAGCTCATGAAATATTTAGCAAAAAGTTTATTTAACCAAATGCTGCTCAAATGCTAACACCTTAAGCATTAATCTTAAAATGAATGTTGCTTGATTTTGCTAATCAAAATTTTGCTTAAAATATGTTTAATGCATTTCTTTCTCCAATTAACCCCTACGATTTTGCTCTGAATTCTTTCAATATACTGTTACTCCTTTTAAAAATTTTAAATCAGAATCATTCCTGAAATTTCTTTTATAAAAACTCTTCATTCTCCTTCTTGCACTTTGTGGTGTTCTATAAAGGTTGAAAGGTTAAAATTTAACTGGAAAAGTCACCAATGAGAATATAGTTTTGCTTCTATGAAGTAAATCAGACACACTGCTCCCTAAAAGGTCAAATTTTTACAAACTCAGCTTGCAGAGATGAATTAGAATGTGGGCAACCCAGGAGGTAAACTTTTGGAGGGTATTTCACTGGACAAAATAAACAAAAATCCTATGCATCTAAGGCAGCAGTGTCATGTTCAGGTAAAAAATACAGGCTTTGTAAAGAAACATAAAAAGCTGTAAAGCTTAGGCAACCACATTTTTTTTTTAACATATAAAAATTTAAACCACTGATTTTTGTGTGTTTTTTTCCCTTTAATTTGTAATACACGTGAAATGGTGCAAGCCTCATATGATTCAGAATATTGATTTGGTATATCTTAGGTTTCTTTTTCAATAGACTCTTTAGGACATAGTTAATGTGTTAGGAGTTGTTTAGAAACCAAATATTTTAGTTGTATTGGTGACTTTTTTTTTTAGTGTCTCCAGCCTGTGCTCTTTTTATAAAAAAACTATGACTCTATGTGATTCCCCCATCTTCTTCATGGACTGTTATATAGATTAGGTAATGTTCCTTATCTTCTAGGTGTAGGTGTATTTCCCTCACAAGATCCTGTTCAGCCCAGAATGCCTCCTTGGATTTACAATGAAAGTTTGGTTCCAGGTAATAAAAGCTTCTTTGTCCAGGATTCCCATCTGGATATTTTGCTTTAAATGTTGTAAATGTAACTGTAAGTAGTTACTGTTGTGGTTACAAAGTATGCAGAAGGAATTGTAACTTTTTTCTTATTTTTTTTCTGAAAGACTTCAGAAAATTAAATAGATCTAATGTTTCTTAAGGCTGCTTTATATATGAAGTAACTATATATCTGAAGGAGAAATGTTTTGCTTATGTTTTATTGACCATCATATACTTTTAATTCTAAAAACTTTTTGATTTATCATGCTCTAGAAGAAGTGATCAAACATTTATTTTATAGATTATTAATAACTATAAAGAATAGTACTAATATGTGTGATGCAATTTTCTGAATTCTTGGTGATTAGTTTATATTTAAAAAAATATTCCTATGACATTTTTATCGTGTGGTAGTATCTGAAATAAAAAGACCAAGTGGCATCTTTTTCTACACTAGAAGATGTTTACTTTTTTCTTTAAAATGTTATTACTGTTGAGCCAAAAAAGAAATTTACTAAAGTGCACATTTTGTGATACTATTCAGTTGATACAAAGAATAGGTCTGTTTAAGCCATGGTTGATGTGCATAATGACTATTATAGCAGAATGTTAATCAAGCTTAATAAATTGTAACTTATTAAATTTGTTCTACTTTGCCAACCCCTTGTAAACTAAAAGGTAGCTTTCATCAGATCTTTAGTGTTGTAGAATGGTTATAGATTGAAGTTGTTATACACTTGATTAAATAAAACTCATGCAAGATCCTGATAGCTGAACTTCTTTTTACATCATAATCACAAATTGAAAGGCTAATTTCCCAAACCAAATGGTACTTTAGTTGTACATAAAAACAATAGGTTTTCTTCCACCTGCCCATTAGACAGTTTGCATCTTTTCCTCTCCGTCTTCAAGCCAAACAAACAAACAAAATTTGGACTTGGTATATTTTGGAGTTACATCCATTTTCTGCCAGCTTGTTTTCTTCCTTTCTCCTTCTTCCAAACATACATGTACACATAATTTCTTAGCCAAAGTATGTGTTGTCATGGCTGGGCTATTAATCTGCAACCCATAGTTAAATCATAGATGTAAAATTTTTGCTTTAAACATTTTTCCCTATCTACCTTAGCCCTATCCACTTTCATCCCCCAAAACTCCTCCAACGAGGGTTGCCAGATTTAGCAAATAGGCATACAGAACATCCAGTTAAATTTGAATTTCAAATAAACAGTAAAGAATTATTTAGTATACGGTAAGTATGTCCCATGCAATATTGGTATCCTGTATGTTTTATGTCAACCCTTTCTCAAACAGCCTTTCTCACTTTGTCCTTTGGAAACCCTGTTTTATTGTGGAAATGTCCCCAAATAGTCCCTTTCTTTTTTCTGCTTCCTTGCCTTAACTAAAACTGTATTTTTCTCTGACGGCTATATTCCATAGCACCTTACCCATTGATGTTTTTTCTCACTGCCTCTAATTCATCGGGACAGGGAAAAGGTGGTATTGGTATAATTCCCCCTTCCAACCGCTGTTTTCAAACTATTCCCACCATCATTATTCTACAACTTCTCTTTTAAAGTCCACCTCCATTTATTGTTGTTATTACCTTCTACTAAATTATAAGACATTTTCTTACCCTTAGTCCCAAATCTTCATCTTTAGGACCAAGCTCCAACCTCTCTTCTAAGCACCAGACCTTAATTATCTGCTGGATATTTCCACTTGAATATCTTTACAGCGGTTCAAACCCTGACATGGCTTTAGTTCTATTAAAGCAGTTTGACTTAAGATGAGTCTCCTATAAGCTACATTGACAACAAAAAAGATCAATCAGTGGTAATATATTTACGTTTGTAATCTGGTCTTTCCTTTAATAGATGTCTATAAGAAAATCTTAGAAACCACCATGACTCCAACTGGAATAGATACTGCAAAACTTTATCCCATTCTGATGTCATCTGGACTTCCCAGGGAAACTCTTGGACAGATATGGGCCTTAGCTAATCGAACTACACCTGGCAAACTTACTAAAGAAGAACTTTATACTGTTCTCGCCATGATAGCAGTAACACAGGTAGACATTGTTTAAGTTAGATCAAATAATTTTTCAATATAAATTGGAAGAATATGAATCCTTTGTGATTACAACCTCGTAGCATTCTTTGTACATTAAAATTTAAATTATTTTCAAGATATAGTACTTCAAAAAATGTATAGTTTATATGAAGCACATACTAGAAAAATATTCCTTTGTTTAAAAACTATTTAATATATTAACATCTTCTGACCTATCTCTCTTTTGAACTTGAAAGTTAATAATAGATGAAGTTTCTCTCTGTCCTTTGAAGTGCTTGTTTAAAATTCCTTAGATATAAAGTAGTTTCCATCTGATAGTAATTTCTCTTATATTACAAAGCCATTTATAACATATCTAATCCTGATTTGATTATAGTAAACTAACCAGACTTGTCAGAGAGTGAAAATGTCAGAATTGATACATGTTGGCCATTTCTTTGCTAAATATTAGATTTGCATTAACCTTATAATTTATTTTCTTGTATCAAATTCATGAGTTTTGGGAGAGTTAGGAGTGGAATCATACCAATGCTACAGATTTTACATTTTGGTCTGTCTTTGCCAGATTTAGGTTGTATGTGGTTTATAATCCGCTAAAATGTTTTCATTTTCTTCCTGTGTAGAGGGGTGTTCCTGCCATGAGTCCTGATGCTTTAAACCAGTTTCCAGCGGCTCCTGTTCCAACTTTAAGTGGCTTTCCTATGACTTTGCCTACTGCAGTGAGTCAGCCAACTGGAATGCCTTCAGGTCCTGCAGGCTCCATGCCCCTCAACCTTGGGCAGCCAGTCATGGGCATTAACCTTGTTGGGCCAGCCCAGGCTTCCAGTGGCTTCATGCCAACTTACCCTGCAAATCAGGTAAATGGAGAAACTGCATATTCCCAATAACCTCTGAAAGGAATCTGGGCAATGTTTTTTTCCAGAGATGCAGAGAGGATTGATGGATTATGATGGACTCTGGAGGTGAAGATTAAACAAAACAATACAAAATTTAAGTTATCATTATTTAAAAAACATGAAGCAATTCGTTAAGCCTTAAGATACTTGAATTTTGGCTAAAAGTTTATAGTTCTTTATACCATATACTTTTTTTTTTATACCATATACATTTTAAACCTCAAGCCTAATAAAGTTAACTAAATTCTTAGGCTGTTAAACCTGAAATTAAAATAATTCAGTTTATTTTTCATTTCTCAGATTAGTAAGAAATTTAAAAACAATATTTAGTATAAGTAAAAATGTAGGGGAAAGCCCTAACTGGTTTGGCTCAGTGAATAGAGCGTCGGCCTGCGGACTGAAGGGTCCCAGGTTCAATTCTGGTCAGGGGCATGTACCTTGGTTGCGGGCACATCCCCAGTAGGGGGTGTGCAGGAGGCAGCTGATCAATGTTTCTCTCTCATTGATGTTTCTAACTCTCTATCCCTCTCCCTTCCTCTCTGTAAAAAATCAATAAAATATTTTTTTAAATGTAGGGAAAAGGGACTATTGATACAGTCTTTTTGGCATGTGGGTTTGTTAATAGCTCCCAAGTTTCTAAATGTCTGTATCTTCTGACCTACACAGTCTTGCTGTTAGGAATCTATCTCACAGAAAGAGTAACTCAAATTAGCACAGATACAAAAATGATATTTGTTATAACATTGTTAGCATAAAAAATTAGAAATGGCTAAATGTCCCTCAGGAAAAGAAAGGTTACATAAATTTTGGTTCATTCATACAGTGGTAAACTGTTTGATCATTAAAATTAATTAAGATAGAACTGTATGTACTGCATTGAAAAGATGTCCATTTCATACAATTACATTTTTTAAAGTGAAGAATATAAGTTCATTTTTTATAAAGCAAATGAACTGTTTATAATAAGCTTATATCACTTTTTAAAATTTACAAACACGTACAGAATGTTTTTTAAAGATGACAGGTTCTTAGTAATCTGTTAAGTGATTTAGCTGTTTAAAAATTATATAGCTGGTTTGGCTCAGTGGATAGAGCGTTGGCCTGTGGACTGAATGATCCCAGGTTTGATTCCAGTCAAGGGCATGTTCTTGGGTTTCGGTCTTGATCCCCAGTAGGGGGCGTGCAGGAGGCAGCCGATCAATGATTCTCTTTCATCGATGTTTCTATCTCTCCTTCCCTTCCTCTCTGAAATCAATAAAAATATATTTTAAAAATTTATATAGTTTATCTTTTTAAATCAGTCTTTTACGACTTGTACATTAGAGTATCTAATTTTTTAGACAAGATTCCTCCCTTAAGCACTGGAGTTGATGTTGTATCTGAAGGGTGTTCTTCTAAAATTAGGTAGTTGTAACTGAATGCACAGATTAAAAAGATAGTCTTTGAGATTGACATTTGGAGATTTGTTATTTACTATTTTACCAGTTTAATGCTCTCTCTTTAAATGTCCTCATAAACCTAGGTGGTAAAACCAGAAGAAGACGACTTCCAAGATTTTCAAGATGCTTCTAAGTCAGGATCCCTTGATGACTCTTTCAGTGATTTCCAAGAGTTGCCTGCTTCTTCAAAATCAAATAATTCCCAGCATGGAAACAGGTACAAAAGAGTTGATTATAGTTAACATTGTATTTAATAGTTGAGAAAGAGACATCCACAATGAGAAACCTAAGTGTAAGTAAGAGAATTAAGACTCTTCACTCTCATGGTTTTTCTGATTAATCTCTCCTTATTCATAGTTTTACTCTTCAAACTTTTGTCCGCATTGTCCACATTAAACTTCATCCCCTACCATTTCTTCCTGGCACACACCTGCTTGGCTATATTTTATTTGCCTGTGCTAAACCTGATTTATTATAGCTGAGTGCATCTGTGCAGTGAGGACTTCATGTTCTTGTGTTATGACCAGGTCTTCAACTGCTGAAAAGTTTTTTAGCCTGGAGCACATCATTTGATATTTTTGCAATAAATATAATGTTGATTTTCTATAGAAATCATAATTCAGAAGATTAAATATGATTATTCACGTCTCATACTTAAGTTGAAATTAATGACTGTTAAGCCTTCGCATTTCTCTTTGTTTGCATAGAGACAATTGCACAAACATATCTCTAATGTTTTATGTGCTAGCTTAACTTTTAGGTACAGTAACTGATTCAGTATGTTCTCAACACCATTCCAACATTTTGAAAAAGTATTTAGATACTTCTTCCACAGAGTGGAACATACCAGAATTTGATTAAGCAGTATGAATTTCTTCAGGGTTTTTTTTTGACACTTGTTTTTGTCAGGATACATATTCCATTTCTCTTATGTTTCTATTTGTGCAATTCCATTCATCTTTTCCCTTTTAATTGATTATCTCTTAGTCAACATTTATTGCATATGCACTGTAACAAGAACTGAGAGATAATAGGCATTATAATTACAAATTAGGGGAAGAATTATTCTGATTTTAGGAATATATCTAACACATGTAAATGACATATAGGAAAAAATATATGAGGGTTGTGACTGCAAAGGACTAGGATTTCCAAGCCCACTACACCAGCATATGTGTTATTAACCTGATAGACACAGAATAATATTTCTTTCTCATTTCTCTTCCTTTGAACAAAGTGTTCTACTGCTATCTGAAACATACCTGAATGACCCAAGGCATCTCAAAGCATCTGCATAAAATTAAATTTATTGTTTTCCTAGATAAAGCTAAATAAAAAATTGTTAACTCATCATTTTCTTCTTTGGTAACTCATGTCACCATATTCAGTCACCAAATCAGAAACATGTTATTTATTTTTGGCTCCCTCCTCTCTCCTTTACCACTATCAACTTTGTCAGCTCCCCTTGTCATGGAAAAGGGCATGTGTGATCTTGCTCATGCCTACTCTCAACTACTGCCGTTTCCCCACAGCTCATACTGCAGCCATGCCAACATGACTTCAGATTCCCCATGCTCTTTCCAGCTTCTGACCTTTTACATTCCATTTCCTTTAATCTGAAATTATTTCCATCGTTAATTCTAATTCCATTTCAGAAATTGATTTAATATAGGAAATTTTTACTAACCTTTTTGGATTAATCACTGCTACCAAGATGAGTTAAGAGCCTCTCTGTCTCCCCTGTCAAGGTGTACCTTATGATATCTGTGCCCTAATTATAATTACTGGGTTACCTGACTGTTTCCTTCAATAGGCTGTAAGTACCTGAAGACAATATTTCATGTCTACATATATAATACTTAGACTATGATTTGTAGTTTATTAAGGTTTGATGGATGATTATATTATATTGTAATGTGAAAGTCATAGACTAAAGTCTATCAAATTGGTGGTTCATTCCTCTGGGAGAAAAAACCTCTCATTAGATGAAATTAAAATTGGGGTGTAGAAAGTTTTAAGATGGTGGCTAGACCTGAGATATGTGGGGTATTAGCAGTTTTGTGTGGCATTATCTCCACATCATAGTTGACTTTCATACACAGCCATTCTTTGCAGATTTTTCTTATTCAGTTCTGATTTGACTTTCCTTGCATGAAAACATTTTGCTCATGTCTAAGAATCCATGATCGTTGTTTACTTATTCATTCAGAAACATTTACTTATCATCTGCTATATGCTAGACATTAGGGTAAGCACTAGAGATAATAAAGAAGCAAAAAACACAGTTGTTGCTCTCAAGAAGCCTAGTTTTATCTGGGTATTTATATTAACTGATAAAACTGTCTTAGAATTAGTCCTTAAATGTGTGTGTGTGCATATATAATGAACTCCCTAGTTTATGATAATCTGTATTCCATATGGTGAGTTTATTCTTAAAGAATATTTGTTAAATCACAATATGAATAGCTAAGCCTAGGTGAGACCACTTTGGGTGGTATTTTTAAGCAGAAAATGGGCATTTTTTTTTTTTTTTTTTGTCAGAGAACATAAAAAGGAAAGGAAAGTGTTAGAAGTAGGCTGGAGTGGAGAGTATTGTTAGTGGGGGAACAGCAGGGGAGGGAATGACATTAGTTAAGGGCTGCACCAACTGTGGGATGACATGATTTATGGCATAATCTGTAAAACATTTTAGAACTAAGAAGTGGCATGATGAAAGTGATTTTTGCTGCTGTGTGTGGGATTAATTCAGCTGCCATGATAATCCTGTTGTGAGATGATGAGAGGTACTCTGGTTTAGAGTTCCAGATACTGAAAAGTGTGTATCTGAGTAATTGGTTGGACTCCATGTTGAACTGGATGTCAAAGTCAAAGGAGAAATGATCCTGAAGCTGGTGTGAAAGGGAATCTGGAAGACAGCAACATCATTCATTTATCCATTCAGAAAAAGCTTTGTGTCTGTCAGGCACTGGGGAGCCTAGTATAATAAACAAGACAAATATAGGGCACTGATGCTAGAATAAGATTAAGGTGTAGAGGTTATGAGTTGCTTAGTTTTATTTTGCTTTTTAAATGGGTGTATTTAGCAGGGTGAGCAAATAAGTAAAATCATCTACCACAGCCATATTGGAGTGATTGTAAAGCATAAATGGAATTTTATTTTGTTTAGTTCAGTCAGCAGTACTTCATTATCCTGAAGATCCTCACTATTTTTTTTTCTAATTCTGAAAATAAATTTTAAAGTAATAATATTAATTAACTGTCACATTTAATAGAAGACTTTAAAAGACCATAGCTAAAGTTACAGGTCATGAAAAACTAATAGAGCATTCAACTTTGTGTTTTATTCCTAAGGCATTAATTTACCTTTATTCCTGTGTAACATTCTGTTCAATGAGTTGTAGTTTAATTACTTATGGAATTTTTAAAAACTCACCTATAACATATAGCTGATGACCTATTTATCAAGATCAAATATGTAGCAGCTGTTTGGTAGTGAATGTGAAATTATAATATTTTATAGCACTAAGCCCTAAAGCACTGTGGATCCCCATTAATGTGTGTGTGCAAGAGCTGGGTTTCTTACTTTGCTTGGAGGCCACTGATAAGAAGATTTAAATGACTGTGGAAAGGTTTTTGCTCCAGGGCAGAGAACTCAATAGAAATCCATTTATATAACTTGCAGTGTGTTATTGAGTGACACAAACTAGTGGTGGAATATAATCATTCATATGTAAAGGTTGTTCTTCCTGGGAGCTGCCTGTGTTTGATAAGAGGGGGAAAAGAAAGCAGTGCTTTTCTAGTATGTGTTAAACTGGTCCAAGAATTGCCCACATAGATACTACTCGTTACACTATTTTTCCATCCAGGGAGAAATGTGTCCACAGGCAAAAGTATCTTTATCTAATTTTGAAGTGATTGTTGTTTTACTACAAAGATAGCTACTGGAACTGCTGATGTTATCCTAGCAAAAAATGCAAATAACTCTATCGCTGCTATCAGATGTGTAAACTGCTGTCAGTAAGCAACGCCAGGAAGCAGCAGCATGATCAAAAGAGGAACAATTTACATCTTGGCTTGAACAGCATTTCATAAATATATTTTTATCTCAACTACTAGAGGCCCAGTGCACGAAATTCGTGCATGGGGGGCGGTCCCCTCAGCCCAGCCTGCACCCTCAACAATCCAGGACCCCTTGGGGGATGTCCGACTGCCAATAGGGCCTAAACCAGCAGTTGGACATCCTTCTCACAATTGTGGACCACTGGCTCCTAATCGCTCACCTGCCTGCCTGCCTGGTCACCCCTCACTGCCCCTCCCGCTGGCCTGATTGCCCTTCACTGCCTCTGCGTGCCAGCCTGATTTCCCCTAACTGCCCCCCTTGCTGGCTGGTCGCCCCCAAGTGCCCCCCGCCCCCGCTGGCCTGGTCACCCCACGCGGCCTGCTGTTTAGTTGTTTGGTCGTCCCTCACTACCCCCCTGCTGGCCTGGTCTTAGGCAGCCATCTTGTGAGGGCATGAGGGTTAATTTGCATATTACCTCTTTATTATATAGGATTCCACCTCTACATTTTGGAGAATAATTAATATTAAGATTCCCATAATTTACTTTAAAATATTGGGTATACTTATTTGGAGCAATTCACTTTTATGGACCTAAAAGTTAAAATTGCAGTAGGTCGTCATTCTATGATAATCTATTTCCAGTGCCATTCCAGTTGTTTTTATGGCTTAAAGATGTGATTAGATGGTCAGTGTGGATCCAAAAATAATCAAGAGGAAAATTATTGGTTGGGTGTTGTTTCAATATATTTTTTCAAGAAGGATGTTTTTAATCATTTGTAGCATATCTATATTTTTAACTTTTAAAGCAGGGAGCCATGTGTTTTAGTTAGGTACCTACTTGCCATTTTAATTCTAAGCTCCTACTGGAGAAGGAAAGGATTTAGTGTTCTAGTCATTAAGCAGTATTTTTTCCCTTTCAGTGCCCCTTTGTTGATACCACTTTCTGGAACTAAAGCATCAGCTTCAATGGATAAATATGCTGTGTTTAAAGGGATTGCAGCTGACAAGTCCTCTGAAAATACTGTCCCATTTGGAGGTAAAAATAGTTTGTGAATTCATAAACCTGTGAATGTAAATCTTTGTTTATAGTGGTGGCCTTTTTAAAAATATATATATTTTATTGATTTCAGAGAGGAAGGGGGGGGAGAGATTGAGAGAGAGAGAGAGAGAGAGAGAGAGAGAGAGAGAGAAACACCAGTGATGAGAAACAATCATTGACCGGCTGTCTCCCGAGCACACCCCCCGCCCCCCCGCCGCCACCCCCACACACAAGAGATTGAGCCCGCAACCCAGGCATGTGCCCTGATCAGGAATCGAACTATGGCCTCCTGGTTCATAGGTCGATGCTCAACCACTGAGCCACGCTGGCCGAGCCTTAGTGGTGGCTTTTTATGGTAAATGTGTAAAACGCCTATACCACGTGTTAAGTATGTTTGGCTAACCCAATCTGCCTTATTTTCTTGAGTTGTGATCTCAAGGTTGCTAACCTACTTGAGTTTCTGTCTTTTTAATCATAGAGTCTGGTGATAAATACAGTGCTTTCAGAGAACTTGAACAGACAGCAGAGAGTAAATCTTCAGGTAAGTTTTGGATTCCTTAAATGAATAAATTGTTTCAATTTCTAATAAAAGATCTTTGAACGTTCTTTTTTTTTTTAATATTTTTTATTGATTTTTTTACAGAGAGGAAGGGA